CAAAGCCCACCACTCTTTCAGGCAATTTGCTGGGTATGAAGCTTGTGGATGGCACCAGATGCCCAGGTGTGAGTGCAACCCATCAGCATGGCATTTCAATTGGTAGAGCTCCGGATGGATCGTTCTACGCGAGACGGTTGCATACTTATCCACCTGGCTTGTGTCAGGCTATGGCGAAGATGCTCTTCAAGACTCTGCAGTGCATGGCTGCAAATCATTCGGGCCCAACAGGCTCCCTTTTGCTCCCTGGTCAGACTTCAGCTCCAAGGATCACCTCTTGGTCCAGTGGTGGTTCGAGTGGAGGCCCAGGGATCACTTTGCTGAATGAAGCAACGGCTCGAACCTACAGTGTGCGCCTGGATCAAAAGCAGTCAGCCGTCTATGTTCATGTAGATGACACGGTTTTCATCAGCACCAGCGATGCGGGCAAACTTCACAGCGATGTTCTTTTGGATGAAACGGTTCGTGGTTTGGGGCTCATTGGTTTCCAGTTATCCCAACAATCTCGTGCAGGTGATTTGGATAAGGTAGTTGGCTATGAGGTGGTGCGCAAACCAGCAGAGTTCAGACTGCCACTCAAGAAGATGGTCTTGTTGCGCGAAGCGCTTCTTCATTTGGTCAGCCAGCCCAAAGTTTCCGTTGATGTTCTCAGATCGCTGCTGGGCATGTGGATATTTGGCAGCCTTCTACGCAGAGAACTGTTGAGCGTCCCACATGCAATTTTTCGTTTCGTCGACAAGCATGAAGGTGAGGTTGTGAATTGGTGGCCGGTTGTTCGCAATGAGGCCAGGGCAATGGCCCACACAGTCTGTCTGATGACGGTGCATGTGGGGGCCCCTATCCTTCCATGGCTCTTTGCAACCGACGCAATGGGCTCCAACGACATCGACTGGGGCGGTTATGGCATAGCTGTCACACAAGTCAATGATTGCGAAATTGACGCCCTGCTTAGGCAGGGAGAAGCAGTTGGACGAGCAGTTCCAAGAGCAGATGGAGGAGGTGCGAAATTCCCAGAGAAATCTTTGTTGCCAACAGTTCCTTTTTCATTGCTCCCAGATGCTATCTTTGAGAAAAGTCGCTGGTTTGCAGTGGAGCGAGGTAGATGGAGATATGGTGACCATATTACCCTGGGAGAGTCTCGAACGGTGCTCAGATTGCTCAACAGAGCAGCGTCATGGCCAGCATTGCAAGGGCATGTGGTCTTCTCTTTGCAGGACAACATGCCTACTGCTTGCTCGATGGCTAAGGGACGCAGCCCTTCTTTCCCTCTGAACAGACTCCTCAGAAAGAAGGCGGCTGTATGTCTTGCAGCCCGCTTCAGAACATTTTTGCCGTGGGTCGAGTCAGCCAGGCAGCCCGCGGACGACCTTTCAAGATTGCTATGATGAGGCTTTCAGATGTGTGCAGCTGCATGAGGCGGTTGCACCCAGACCTCAGACAACGTGTTTCCTCTGATACACTTTTGAAGTATCAGAAAGCTTTTTCAGCGTTCATTGAGTTTTTGCAGTTACAACTTGATTTAGATGTTCTTTCTTCCGAAGACTTGGATGGATTGATGATGGACTATCGCACCGAAATGGAACTCACCAAATCCCAGCATGTGATGTTGGTGGCCAGCGCAGAGTTCTTTCTGCCACACATGAAAGGCAAGCTGCAGCTCAGTCGTGAAGCATTGCGGGGCAGAGCTACAGCTGCAGCTGAATGTGCACTTCTTTTTGCTGCATGGCATTGTTCAGAAGGCAGACCACGGGTAGGAGCTGCTATGCTGGTGCAACATGCTACGGGACTTAGGCCTTCAGAGCTTTTGGCATTGCAGACGCACCATGTGCACCTCCCCATGGACACGAGGCGCGCCATCACCGTGCGGTTGGGGGCCAACTACTCCACTAAGGTTAAGCGTGAGCAGTATGTACTGGTGCATCCTGAGTCTCAACCACTTGCATGTAGTCTCATAGCTTGGTTGGTCTCCTCTTCTAAACCAGGTGATCGCATTTTTCCTTTTGGATACTCAACCTACAACAATGCCTTCAAAGCTGCAGAGTCACATTACCAGTTGCACTTGGGCACAACTGCTCATTCGGGTCGTGCTGGATTTGCTACACATCATGTCTTGATGGGAGTTGACCGCAAGGAGATTCAGGCTCGAGGCAGGTGGCTTTCTGAGAGTAGCTTCAACACTTACATTGACATTGCAGGTGCTTCACACATTGCTGCGTCAGTAGGCACTCAGAAGTTGGCCTCTACAGCGACTTGGTTGAATCATCACATCTGGAGCTACTTTGGTCTCTCCAGTCCTGACGATGGCCAGGCCTCGAACAGCCTCAGTGGGCCTGGAAGGTCGGCCAGACTTCCGACTCAAGATTTTCAGAGACATGATTCCCGAGCCTCCAGAGCACTACACCACGCATCAGAAACGACAGTTCCGCCAAGAAGAATGGAACAAGTTGGTTACCCCGTCAACACCCTCAGGAGCCCAGCCAAAGGCAAAGGCAAGGGCCGCGGCGTTCTTCGGCTGCGGGGCGACGGCTCCAAATCGATCTTCGACTAGGCGCAAGCTTTGGCGCTGTTGGTGTGGCTCTGCAGGATGGGGCACTATGTTCTTTGTTGTTTTGATGGTGGTGAGCATCATGAGTGGTGCTGAGGGTCCTCTCTTCCAAGTTGCACGTTTGTTGGGAGTTCTTGCCACCTTGGGTGAGACGACTTCTACAGCAGCCGGGCAAGCAATCAATGTGACTGGTGCTCTTGCTTCAGCAGCCACTGAAGTAATTACCAGTGCCACTTCCAATGGACTTAACACTGCTGAGAATGTGTGGCGTGGAGTGGATGTCAGTCGGTTGGAGGCTGCTCGTTGTGCAGGCATTCTCACTGTTGATGGCCCTGAGGCCCTGGGGCAGTGGCTCAATGGCACAGCTGCTCCAATTGTGATCCCTTGCCTCACACCTGAGCTTCGAGACCAACTGCTGGCAGCCACGACTTCGGTGTCTTTAACCTTACCCTCTATTCAGTCCGCAGTGGAGTCCTTGGAACTGTTGTCTGAGTTCAATGCCACCAAGGTATGGGCCCACTTGATTGCAGATGGCCGCACTCAGGTCCACTATGAAATGGTGCACCTGCGCTTTGCTGTCTACTGGGCGAACCCTTTGTGGACTAATTTGGAACTCGACTTGGCTTCTGAGCGTGAGCAGATCTTGCGCCTTTTGCGCCTAGCAGTGATTAGCTTGCCTTCACCGACTCCTTCCACTGGCATTCGCGCTTTGGACCTTGAAGTGCAGGTTTCCTGGCCAGTGTTGATGTCGAAGGTGAAGATGTTAACACGAAATTGGCTGATGACGATGTCCTCAGTATTGGATGATACCTTTCGGGGAGGGGGGACGGTCAGTTTCTTTTGGTGGTTGGGTCCCCTACTTGTTTCGTTTTTGCTCCTGCTTTGGCCGCTGCTCTTTCACTGGCGTTACTTCCAATCGACGACGTCGGGCAGCATTGCGCTTTTAGCAGTGATGGACCGCAACCAATTGGATGATGAGCTGGCTCCTCCTGTATCTACTTCACCGGATGTGCTTGGTATTTCTCTGTCTGGAAGTTCGTCTTTCGCATTGCTGTCAGATGCTAAGTCAGAGGCCTCCTCCAACCATAGCTTTCCCTTTGAGTCTGGGGATGGTGCTGCAGCAAGTGATGACTTCTGAGGAGTTCACAAGTGGTGAGGGGATGCGGCTTATCACTCGACATGTTGCCAGAACGCACAGCTTTGTCCAGCCGGACATTTTTCGGGCAACATGAGTGATTGAGCCTGGTCTACAAACTTTGGATAACTCTCAGCCTGAAGTGGAAGAAAAGCCTGCATGATCGTCCAAGGGTGGTCAGCTTTGCTTGTGGGAGGGCAGAAGTGAGTGCTGCGAATTAGAATCCAAAATGAATGTTTCCTTGGAAGAAAGTTTTTGAATAGGAGCGAACGCTGTTTCATGCAGGCTGGGCTTGATAGGTGGAAACTGACCGTCAAGCCTTTTCAGGGGCCCGGCCCAATCCCGCCCGGCACAGTCCGGTGCTTCTTTTGTTTGACTGGGGATGCGGCTTATCACTCGACATGTTGCCAGAACGCACAGCTTTGTCCAGCCGGACATTTTTCGGGCAACATGAGTGATTGAGCCTGGTCTACAAACTTTGGATAACTCTCAGCCTGAAGTGGAAGAAAAGCCTGCATGATCGTCCAAGGGTGGTCAGCTTTGCTTGTGGGAGGGCAGAAGTGAGTGCTGCGAATTAGAATCCAAAAAAAGGTTTCCTTTCAAAGGGATCCCTGATGTCGGTTGGTAAATGATAATAATTTGCCCGGATGTTTACCGCTTTTGCCTTTGGCGAAGCACGGGGTTTCCACCCCTGATCCTTGCGTCATTTTTGTTGTTCGGGCTTGCTCGCTTCCACAAGATCCGAGGGCCCCGATCACTGGTGCGCCAGTTCCTCCCGGAAATCCTTTTACCAAATGGCCAGCGCCAACCCTTGAAGGAATTAGTGACTAGTGACTAACCGCCAATCAAATTGCATGTTCTAGGTCCCCCAGTAGTGCCCTTTTACCTTTTTTTGGGAGGGTTCCCCTACTAGACTACAGAAAAAAGGGTACCTTCATTCTAACCTCTCTACTGGAGGACCTAGTGTTTGCTTTCTTGACGAAAGCGCGTTCAATCGCCGGGAATCGGAACAAGAGTTCCGAACACCACCCCCCAATCGCCTCTTTCTGTCCGGCCTAAAAATTGGGCTTTGCCCCTCTTAACTAGATGCGCGAAAGCCAGCGAAGACAGGTTCCCAGAAGGCATCGCCTCCAAGAAAGGCAGGGGTCAAAAAGTGTGCGCTGGGAGCTGAGACTTGGAGAGAGCCCTCAAAACCCCACCGGCCAAAATTAAATATCTCCGTTTCAAGCAATTCCGTGAGGGGGACGCGCAAGCTGGCGAAAAAAGAAGAAAACAAGAGGGTTCCACCGGCCAAAGCGCTTCCCCCCCGAATTTTTCCAGGAGATCTCTGCGCGGATGATGGAGGAGCGGGAGAGGCAGCAGGTGCGGCGCCTCGCCGAGCTCGAGGCGCGCGCTTCCGCTTCGTGTCGACTCGAGCGCCGATTCGAGCGCCGGTGGTGGGGGATGCTTCCATTTGCCTAAGTTCTTTTTTGGCTTGTTGGTTGTAAAGGGAATCGATTTCACTACTGGACATATGTTTGTTTTTTCCCTGGGGCTTAAGCAAATGGAGGGATGTTGCTTTGTCGATGCCGTGGGGGTTGCTTTGGTAGACGGGCGCAGACATGGGGCCAAAGATTGGGCCGTAAGACAACCTTTGGTAAAAAGAGGGAGGCCTTTGCAAAATGTCTGGTGGACAGGATTCTTTTTCTTTCGGAGGGAGCCGACGGCGGTGGAGAATTTGATTGTTGCAGACCTGCTCTGCACCCGGAAAAGCAAAAAGGCGCACAGGGTGGTTCGGATAGAAGTACACAATCAGGGCGTGCTTTAATTAAACGCAATGGTGGGCCAAGCCCCTTCTTCAACATGGTGTTCAGGCAGCCGCCCTTTGGTCCACTTACCCTCGCACCTTGCAGCCACGTACCTTTGCTGGGAACGTTCAAATGCGAACCTTGGCATTTCGGGACAGAGTGGGACAGATGAAGGTCACTATCTTAAGGTGAACAGATATGACCACTTGACTCTTGATCTGTAGTTTACCTAGGTCCCCCAGTAGTGCCCTTTCCCCTACTAAAATGGACTTCAAAAAATCGGGTACCCTCATTCTAACCTCTGTACTTGTACTGGAGGACCTAGTTGCTGACCAGAATTCAGATTGGCAGTTTGAGTTTGGCAGTTTGGGATTTGCACGTTGGACACGGGCCCTTGGCTTGAGACAATCGGGGACCTCGACTCTGGCCCGCCACCATCTGCACCAAGGGTGAGCGGAGCCTATGTGCAAATCCGGGCAGACCCGTTTTTGTTTTCTTATGTTGGTGGTTTCACGATAGACTATCATTTACTGGGTGAGGATCTTACTTTGGACCAAGCTTCGGAGCTACCGACCAGGAGCGGAAGCAGATGGAGGCAGAGCGGAAGAAGTACGAGCACCACGTGTCATGGCTAGCCCAAAGCACCGGAAGGGCAATTCTTAGTAGTCAAGTGCTTCTGCCTGGTTTCAGTGGGGTCGCAGACCCTTTTTCCCACCTTTGTAACCATGTTAAGAGAACCCAAAGTCAAGAGGGTTTTGGGCACTCATTTGCGCAGCGGTCGTGGTTTCCCTCGTTGCATCGCTGTCAGATTATGCGGATCAGGGATCCAGGTCGACCAACGAAAGTGAAGACGTAGGGACCGCTCAGCTGTTGAATCTGCCCAGCCTCCGCCCAGAAGCGGCCCCGCTTCTTCCTCCCCGCCAACGGGGCTCAGTTCGGGTTTGCAAGGTCATCTGGAAATCAAAGGTCAAGTCGCCACTTGGTCTCACGAACATGTTTTTGAACCCAAAGGCTCGCGACCCTCCCATTGAAAGGGAACAGCGCCTGGGAAGCTTGCAAATCGTGGGAGTTGATAAGAACACCAAGCCCACCAAAAACCAGGAGCCCCCCCCAGAACCCCAAGAACCAACCAAAAACCCCAAGAACCAAATCACTCCCTCACCCCTAAACCCCCCCCTAACCCCGACCCCTAAACAGCCCCAAGCCCCTAAAAACTATCCGAGATGCTTCTGACGCTGAAGCGGCTGCTGCAGAAGCTGCGGTTGGCGAAGCCGGAGAACTTCAAAGAGCTCAGCCTGGAGCTGGACGTGCTGCTCCAGGACTGGCTTGGGACCCGCGCGGGCGCGTGCGCGGGCACGCGGCGCGATACGCGAGGGAGGCGACCTGGAAAAGGTTTCGCCGTGGAAGACGCGAGAAGGGGGGGACGTGAGAGGGGGGGAGTGTTCATGTCTCCTGCTTTTTTTTTGGGCCGGAGGTTTTTTTCCGGGTGGGGGCGGGGTTTTTAGGGAACCCGGTATTGCTTTAGTAAGCTCGTCTTGGTCAGGTCCAAGAGCAACTGCTCTTGATTTGGTCCCCTAAAATCGCCTTGGAGAAAAACTGTTTTGGCTTTCCCTTTCAATACCAACCAAAAACAGGGATTCTACTTTGCTTAAAGAGAGAGAGGTCCAGGTGGGTTCGGCCCCTCGGAACTTGGGGTGTGGGCAACCAGAAGCCTGAAGCTGGGATGGGAGTGCTTCTCAGAATCTTGGACCCCCTTTTGGTGTTCAAAGAGGAGCCAAAAGGAAGCCATTGCCGTTTCAGGGGTGCACCATCGGCTCTGTCCAGTGGACAGGGGGCGTGTATTTTTCCTAAGGGCAGTTTGCTGTGAGCGGCTGGCCCGGCAACCTGAGTTTCCTTAAGGCAGGAAGCCGAAAGTTGTGGACATCTCCAGCCGCTTGATCCCCTGAAAGAGTTCAACCGGCGAACATCTTGGACGCACTGTAAGTTCCAAGGCCTGTTAGTTGCTTTACTGCCGCTACTTTGGGGGATCATCTGTTCCTTTCACAGACCGGCCAAACGCACATCTTTCACTCACCAACGGCTTGTTTCAATCAGCGTTCAACGAGTTCTGATTCCAGCTATTCTTGATCCCCAATGGGATAGCCATGCATGCGTCACAGTGAGATTGGCTTGGCTTGCCCCTAAACCAAGGGTGTGTTTAAAGGTTGGGCGGATGTTCCTTTCCAACCTTCGGCTTCTTGCAAGGGGGAATTGAAAAGCCACCACCCATTGTCCTTTTTTTTTTTTGGGGGGGGGGAACCCAGCAGAAGCAGACCAGCAGACCAGCTCTCCAGTGGAAAACCTTCTATTTTCTTTGGGTTTAGGGTTTAGGGTTTAGGGTTTCTGTTCAAACTGTTGGCTTCCCCCTAAATTAAGGGTGTGTTTAAAGGTTGGGTGCATCATGGTGCATGTTCCCTTAGAATCTTGGGCTTCTTTAAAGGGGAATGCAAGGCCAGCACACACTTTCCCGGTTTTTGGTTTTGCCTCTTCTTTTTTTTGGGGGGAAACCCAACAGAAGCAGACCAGCAGACCAGCAGACCAACTCTCCATACAACCTCCCGCGCTGAAAGCCCAAAGATGGGGAATTGAGAGCCTTGAGAGCCTTCGGCTTCTTTAAAGGACACCTCTCAGCATTTCTCGTTCCTGAGTTCTCTCCCCCAATTGCTGGGCTTGCCATTTTTTGTTTTCTTCTCGGAACTTTTCATTGGACAACCTCCCAACCAACTCTCTGGCAAACCTCCCATTTTCAGGGTTTTTCGGAAGAATTGAAAGGACACACCGCCCGGTGCTTTTTTTGGGGGGGGAGGGGGAACCCCAACAGAAGCAGACCAGCAGACCAGCAGACCAGCAGACCAACCCCCCACGGGAAAACCGTCCATTGTTCTCCGGTTTTTCCTCTGCCCAGCGCCTAGGAGAACGAGTGCCTGCGGGCTCTGCGAGTGGAGGCCGAGAAGGTGCGGCAGGAGGCCAAGACCCGGGTCTCGCAGCTCAGGCTGAAAATGGGGGCGGCGTCTCGGGTTTTTCCAGCGATTGGTGCCCTTTCTCACCCGGGAGGGGTTCCTCTAGAATAGACTACAGAAAAAACAAGTTGGTACTCTTATTCTAACAGAATTCTAAGGGTTGCTTCCCCATTCTTAACCCAGGGATCCTTCTTTCTAAGCACCAAAAACCCTGCATGAAAGGAATGGGGAATCAACCCCTAGAAACTTGTGGCTCAAAGAACGGTGGCGGTCCCAAATAATTGGCTCACTTTCCGAGACTTTTCATTCTTTGCGGATGAAACAACCAGTTTTTGGACTGGCTCCCGGACTTGTTGCAGCTTTTTGGAAGGAATCCATGTTAGGGGCAAAAAAGGAGCTTGGACTTTTGGTTGGCCCTTCCCACTCAGGAAGTGAGCGGATTGAACCCTGTCTTGGATCTCAGAGACGAGAATCAAACCCGGCGGGTTCCCTTAGGTTCCAAACCGCCCAATTGGATCCCAACATGCCCGACTCCGCCCGACTTCCCCCCCACCATCCCAAGGGTACCATAACTATCCTTACTTTGCCGATTTGATTTCGCTTGAAGCATTTTGGGATTTCCGCGCACCAATTATTGAGGGTTCCCAGCAAAGCTCAGAACGTCGCGCCAATACCAGGGCGTGGATAACTTTTGTACCCAGTCTGGTCGACAGTAAGCAGACCGGGCCAAACGGGCATAAAGCCGCTTGGAGGGAGTCCTCGATTTTTTCAAACAAGCAACCTCCATCACCCGCTGCCGCGTGAATTCGGTGTGTTTGCCGCAGGCATCAAGTCAGCTTGTTTGTGTTTGCATGTGTTTTCTGCCGCTGCCGTCGCGGCAGCATTGCGGATGTTTGACCAGACGCTCCCAGAAGTCCGAAGCTGTTTTTTTACTTGCTGTGAGTTCAGAGGAAGTTCGGATTTTGCAGCAGCTCTGTGTTGCTTCCCATTGCCAATGGCAAAACGTGGAATGCACCACCAGCACCAGCACCAGCACCGCCACCGCGACCGCCACCAATATTACCACCAACACCACCACCACCAAAAGAAGGAGAAGAAGAAGGAGCAGAAGAAGAAGAAGAAGAAGCAGAAGAAGAAGACGAAGAAGAAGAAGAAGAAGACGAAGAAGAAGAAGAAGATGAACAAGCAGGAGAAGACAAAGAAGAACCAAGCGACCGACCGACCGGCAAAAAGAGCAAGCAAGCAAGCAAGCAAGCAAGCAAGCAAGCAAGCAAGCAAGCAAGCAAGCAAGCAAGCAAGCAAGCAAGCAAGCAAGCAAGCAAGCAAGCAAGCAAGCAAGCAAGCAAGCAAGCAAGCAAGCAAGCAAGCAAGCAAGCAAGCAAGCAAGCAAGCAAGCAAGCACCCTTGGTGCTTCTCCCTGGGGAGATTCCGAGGAAGATCTCCTCGTTCCTGCAGCGGGTGGACCAGAAGAAGCGGCAGGCGGAGGAAAGCCGAAGGCAGCAGGAGGAGACGAAACGCGGTTCGTTTCGGGGGCTTGTCCAAAATGAGTGCCCGGTTTTTTTGGGCCTAGGGTCCAAAAGCGGTCCATATCTTTGACAACTCACCTTTTGGAGGATTTTAAGGGGAAACCAAAAGGGGTGCCAATGTTGAGAGCCACCCTTTGGATCTTGGCGTTTTTGCAGTTCTTGGCGTTTTCGGGTTGAACCTCGCCTTGAATTGACGGGAATCACCTTTGAAGGTCTCAGAGATGCAGCCAAGTTCTCGAAAAAAGCTTGTTTTGTTTGCGGTGGGAAGGGAGGTGATCCCCTAATAGGAAGGAACTGAGATCAGATTTCCTTCCTCGTGCCTTTTTGCGTGGATCTCAAATCAAAGGAGTTGCGCGTCCATCTTTTATGGCGGATGAACAAGGGAAACCTTGCAAGTTGCCATGGCTTGCGGGTTATGTACCCGAACCATGCCTGCCTGAGCTTCAGTCAACATATCCGGCAGCTTTAGGGTCCATTTGGGAGAAACATGTTTCTCATGGAAGAGCGTAGCGGTGCCATTTTATAAATCACCAATATGAGCCAAAATGCCCCTGTCATTTTCGCTCAAGTCTGTTTGGGGCATTGCCCACTGAACAACAACAAACAAGTAGACAGTAGACATGTTAATTTCCCGACTGAAAAGAGCTTTGCCTCGGCCGGCATAAACTGCTTTCCCCATGGGCGCAAACCCGACTGGAGAAAAAGCGGGGGAGAAAAAAAACACGCTCGCAAGCGCAAGCGCTTGATAGGAGGCATAGGTGTCCGTTTTGGTTGTTTTGCTCGAAAAATAGAGGGCGATTCCTGGTTTCCCTGGTGGTTTAATCATCTACCAGGGCCATCTATTTTCCTCAAAAGGACCTACTAGGTCCCTTAGTAGAGCCCTTTTACCAACTTCTACCGGGGAAACCCATCCAAATTTCTCTAAGTGGGACACCTAGCGCTAGGAGGGCTGCCGGAAGCTGCTGGAGCAGCTGGAGCAGCTGGTGGAGGCGGTGGAGACCGTGGCCGAGGTCCTCGAGGAGCGCCAAACGAGCGGAGCGAGCGGAGCGAAGCAGCGGGAAGCCGAGCGGGGAGGGAGAGGGGCGGAGATTTGGCGGGGGGGGGGGGGGAGGGGCTTTGCTCTCTTTTTTTTTGGGTGGCGCAGGACTTGTGGTTTAATTAGGGATGGTAAGTTTAGGATGGTTTTAGGGTTTTGGGTTGGAGGGGGGGGGAGGGCGATGATACCAGTGGAAAGTTGTTGGTAGGGGATGGTTGGGGATTTTGGTTGGCATGGTTGGTTGCTAGCTTGGTTGGCGTTTCCCCCTTTTTTGCCCTTCAATGAGGGATGGAACTATCCCGAGAAAAACCATCCATCCTCTGGTTTCCTTTAATTAAGGAAATCCCCAACCGGTTCATTCCGAGAACCCGAAGGTCACTCCCCAGTGACCACCAGCAAGTTTAGGACGGTTTATAAAACATGGGATGGTTCATAAAGTTCAGGATGGTTTAGGGTTAGGAGTTCGGGAGGACCCTCGTATCAGTGGACAGTTGTTGGGGCGATGCTCCGTGAGACTGCACCTCCTGCCACCAGGAGACTCATTTGGCATTGGGGCTCGAAAGGTGACGCTTGACATGAGGCTTGCTAGGCGCCCCCCTACAGGAGTACTGGGGATAGGCCAAGGCAAAGCGAATAAGCAGGGCGGCCTCTTCCACTGTGCAAACACGATTTGGGGAAGATTTGATTGAGCACTATGTAAAGGCTGCATCAGACACTAAGGACAACATCAAGTATCCTGGTTTGAAGTTTGGGGCCTCATGGATACAGGTTGTGCAAGAGTTGCTCAAGCAAGCAGCCTTGGTTTCCCCTTAAACTAAGAGTGATTGGCAAGACTTGTTCAAACTTTGCAGCCTCTGGTCTTTTACTGGCTTGAGCAACTCCCTTTTGCTTTCCCCAACAGCTGGAAGCAAGGGGTCTGTGCCCACAAGGAGGGTTGCGGGCATGCACAGGGCGGTTCCGACGATGGTTCCGGGGACGGGCGTGGGATGCAGGCACTGCTGGGCGTACGCACGCTGTTCGGGATATCACCTGAGCTGATTTTTGAACCACCAGCCCAACCTATTTCCCCCAGTCTTGCCCTTTTACCGTGTTTTGGGGGAGGGTTCCCCTACTAACATGACTACCGGAAAAAAAGGAGTGGTACTCTTATTCTAACCTCTCTACTGGAGGACCTAGTCGCTCCTGCCACTCCTCTTCGGACCCAAACGAAAAAGGCCGGGTTTCAAGCCTAAAATCCCCCCAACCCCCCCCCCCCCTGACCCCCCCTAACTCCCTTGAACCCTAACCCCCCCAACCCCCCTAACCTCGGGTTTAACCCCCCCACCAAAGCGAAGAAGGCGGCGGGTTTCAAGCCCTGCGACACGAGGACAAGATGAACAGCATCCAGGGCCCGGCGGTGCCGAGCGACCAAGAGCTCGAGGAGTTCTCGGAGTCGGTGGGCCAGGCGGACAAGGAGGCGCCAGTTGGAAGAAATATCCCGGGAACGGGGCAAGGGGGGTGGTTCTTGGGGACCTGAAAAACGTGGTTTTCGCAGTTCTTTGGCTCAAAACGGACTATGTGGGCGGAAGTGGGTAGACGCCTGTGGGACTGCCCTTCTTTTTTACGCCCGAGGTGCAAGAAGCCTACGACACCTGCATGGAGTTCGTGCGGGAGAACAGCGAGGCGATCGAGGAGATGGAGGTGGAGGGCATGAGCGGCAAGGCCGAAACGGCCGAACAACAGCACCACACCCTCCATTAGCTTAAGAATATGTTTGAATTTTCCCTTGTTGGTTTTAAAAGAAATTCATCACTACTGGACATGTTTTTTATATTTCTTTCCTGGGGCCTTAACCAAAAGGAAGACACGGTTTGGGGATTTCAGCCCTTGGTGTTTGTAGACGGTAGATGGCCATGGGTCAAAAGCCTACTCAGACCTCCCAGTGAACATCCCAATCCAACCACTAAATAGGTTCTAAGATGGGTGGTGAATTCACTTCCCCAAAATGGTACCATTGGGCCACCAATCCAAGCCACCACTTGGTGGCAAGCTGATTTTCTTGTCAAGAAAGCTGCAGAAGTTTCCCTTCTGCCACTTCAGTGACTTTGATGGCAATATGGCTGTCGAAACCGATGGGATCCCATTTTGGGCTAGGTGAATTCACCACCCATTTTAGAAGATATTTGAGTGGTTGGATTGAATTGGATGTTCACTGGGGGTAGAGTAGGCTTTTGACCCACCACATGATGCCGTGTAAGACCCCAGGAGCCCAGCGTGTCTGCACTCCGGTTTGGGCGGGTTTGGGTGCATGTTTCCACTTGCCAGGGCAACCCATTTTGGGAGTTGCCCTATTTTTGACTACCCCAGCCATATGTTGGGGTGTACATTTTGGGGTAGATGCACCACCCATTTTAGTCTATAGCGGGGATTGGGATGTTCACTGAGGGTACGATTTGGGTTTTGACCCATGGCCATATTTGGGGTGTACACATTGGAAGAGTGGAAGTTGGGAAGCATTTCTCCCGCCGCCTCCGAATTCGGGGGTCCTTCGTTGCAGAAAGCTGCCAAAGTCTCGTGCGGGGAAGCCGCCGGTGTTGGATTGAAGAGTATGTGAAAACAATGGAAAACCACGAGGTAATCAACTTCTGGGAGGTTGTCGCTGTTGCCTCAGATTCCATGCATTTTTCGTGTAGAGATTGAGGAGCGATATAGAGGTGGGATGTTGGAGTGGGGTGTTGACGACTTGGAGTTGGGTGTTGGTAATGTGGGCAGGGGCGGGCTTTTTGATGTTGAATAGTGCCTTGGTAGTCCCTCCGTGGTGTCAGCAAAAGGGGTATCGATCCAAAGGACACGCCCACAATCGAACCACAGGTGAGACATGATTCTAGCCAATCGAATGGAGATTTGTAGGCGCCATGGAAAATATTTGTAGGCGCGTCTTTTGAAGCTCGGCGTATTATGGGGCAGGGTTTGGGTGCTCGGCGCAGCATGCTGTTTGGGAAAGCCCACAAGCCAAGTGCAAAGCACCAAAGCCACGTGCCTCGTCACTCCTGGCTTCCCTGGTCTCCAACCCAGTCTGAAATTCGGTTGCGTCTCTGGTTTAGAGCCCATTCAATATTGGGCTTGTGCCCCAAAACGCATCTTAGACATAGGTCTGGGTGAAAATGTGACCACCAGGGGACCGCAGGATGAATCGTCCTTGGTTCCATTTACCACGGCAAGCCAAGTTGGGCTTCCCTATTTTTGACAACCACAGCCACGTAGCTGGCTGGTTGGAAGCAATCCGGACTCGGAGCTGGGAGTATCCAGCTTTGCTGTTAAAGAGGGAGTGTCTCGGAGCTACTAGGAGAGGCTCTGGTCGCCAAAACCCCAACCTCATGGCAGCTGGAGAGGCGGGAGGGGAGGGGGAGGGAGCCCTTATTCAGCCCTAAAATCAGGCCTTATTTGGGCTCCCTCCCCCTTCCCTCCCTCCCCACCACTGGGATCATTATGTGGACGGGTTATGAAAGTCAGAAAATGGTATTTTCATTCAACCCACCACTTAGGGGGTGACATTGATCATGGTAAAATGATGAAGCCAGCCCCAGGAAAAAACGCCTCTTCCCTCCGCCTCGGCCTCGCCCCCTCGCGCTGCGGCGCGCTCCAGGCACAGCTGGAGGCCTTGGCGCAGCGCGCCGAGGCGGCGCACGCCAAGCGCAGCAGCTGCCTCGGGGGCATGGAGAACGCCAAGCAGGCGCCGCCCGGGAAAGAAAACCAACGCACCCGAAGAATCCGCGCGGCGGCTGTGGGCGGGCCGGGCCGTTTTTTTTGTTTGGGGGGGGGGGGTTGCTCTATCTTTTTTATCCGTAGGGATCTGGGCGGTTCCCAGCGTGTCGTTCGGTTTGAGTTACGTGTTTTACGTGATTAGGTTTAGTGTGTTTTGGGGTTTCCTCTAGGTCTTTGGTGGTGTTTAATGGGTCTTTAGTTGTTTTTAGTTGGTTTAGTGGTTGGGTTTATCCGTTTCACCCACAAAAGGTTAACAACTTTGAGCAGGGTATCTGAGGACAGCCCAGAGATGGTAGTTGGATTCTCCGAGCCATGGAAACCCTAAGGTTGAACATAGCCTTTTCAACTTTTTGGGCCCTTGTCCCTCTCGCAACTGCTGGAACCCAATTACTAAGGCTGGAACTCAAGCAGCTGGGGTTATACAGGCTTTATCTTTGTTCCCATATACCAAGGTGCCATTTGGTGGATTCCAGTTTTTGAGCCTCCGTCAATTGAGCTGCAAAGGTTTCAGCACATTCGTCAAATCGCAGACGGGCCAGGGATTCGCAGCAAAAGTTTTGTACACGCTTTTGCGACATGCGAGCAAGGTGTTCCAACCCTGCAAAGGCAAAACCAGAGGATTTCCAGGGGCCCTCTCTCCTAGAGATAGGTTGTCTCAAAATTTGGAACCCTCAAACCAAGCGGTTTTCCTTGTGTTCCCCTTCAACACCCTCCCAAACACACACACACACACACACAAAACAAAAACAAGAAACAAGGAAGCAACAGCGTACCATCAACGTACCATCAAAAAAGACACCTCCCGCGTCACAAATAAATCCCCCCACTCCCAACAGTCCAACGGATTGGCCAACCGCCCACGGGCCCCAACTGGGTTGCCCCAAAGTTGAATAGTAGACCGCTTCAATAAATACAGCGCTTGCTGTAGGTACATGTCCTTAAAAACAAAAAAAAAGGTTAAAAAAAAAAACGACCCTAGGTCATATCCCTAGGTCATATTTTATCGCTGTAGGTACATATCCCTAGGTCTTTACATTAAACCCGGCCGCCTCCCAAGCCGAGCGCCTCCCAAGACGGCAGGTGGCGCTTCTGCGGCACTCGGAGGCGGTGGAGGCTTTGGAGCGCAAGAGCCTGGCAGAGGCGCTTCTGGAGAGGGAGAAGGCCGTCTTCAAGCGCCCGGAGCCCCGGGAATTGGGGGGGGGGGGGGGAAGGTTAGGACTTTGGGGGGGGGGGGGGTTTGGTGCAACATGGACTTTGGTTGGAAGGGGGGGTGTTGGGTGTGGGTGGTCTCGGCTTGTGTTGATATGGGTTTTCTGGCAAGCATGTGATATGTAATTTAGATTTGGGCTGAAGGCCCTTCTTGCATACTCTCATAGCCAGCAGCTAGGAGAAAAAGAGATCAATAGTTGCTTGTGCTTACAGGATAGATCAGGACATCATATAACCAGGACACATCCTGAGCTTCCTCAACATCCATCACCCGATGATTCCATATTGATAGATCCCGGGCGCAGCGAACCGTGGCTCTAGTGGGCTAGCATCTTCCGGGCCAGTAGCCTGCCGTACGCGCCGCAAGTGTGGAAGCGGACTCAGATATGGAGCTCAGAGATGGTTGGACCACATTCGCATCAGTGGAGCCAGAAGAACGGGGATCCTTTTTTAAGAGGCTTGAGAAGAACACGCTCAAGAAGTGCTTCCTGAAATTGAGCTACGAACGTATATTTGCATCGACCCCTCAGTTTCTTCAACCGCCGGAGAAACAACAATGAGTTCCTCCCATTCATTTTCGAAGTGTGAGATTTTGCTTCGGCTCGAATCATCGCTGCAATCACAGCGCAATCGCCACAGTATCGTAAAGCAGCACGAGAAGCAAATCTATAGGTCCCCCAGCGCCCTTTTGCCCTTTTTGGGGGGGTTCCCTACGAAAATAGACGACAGAAAAATATCGGGTACCCTTATTCTAGAGGACCTAGAAACGCAAGACAAGCCGCGCGGCCGCATCCATCCGCTGCGGCTGGAGCGCCGCCCAGAGCCTATGCGATTGCGAACGGTTCCGAGATACTTCACCGATAGGTTCAATGAAAGCAATCGGGCGTCCGGGGTGGTTTCCCATTAGCCCTTCGCAGGAACCAGGTCGTTCAAATCCAAATCAACAGCACCCAGCCCAAACCGCCGAACAAGGTTTTCCAGTTTTACAGCATCAGGCTACGACTCGGACGGGGACGACCGGATGACCATGGCGGATGCTCTCAGCTACGCTCGGTGCGAGTTCTTCTTTGAGGCCGAAAAGTGCCGTGGGTTGTTGGCTGCTGCTCTCCTTTCTCATTTTCCTCACCCTGTTTTGTCGTTAAAAAGGACCCTTTGTTGGGTTCAATGTTCGACAAGAGGAAGGCTAGTGGTTGGAAACCTTTGAGTCTAACCTTTGCACGCTAACCATCCGGGCGTTTCTGTAAATCGCAGGACGTCTGACAGGGCGGGCTTCCCTTTTCACCCATGAAGCCCTCTCAAAAACATGAGCGCCCCGAGACATTTGAGTTGGTGTGGTTTCCTTTTTACTGCTGGCTTTGTGAGAAATTGGCTTTGATTCGTTGGGTTCCCCCTTGTTTTGCAAGCCCCTTGAGTTGTTTGCTTTCCGTTTAGCTCCAAGGGTTTGGCTTGTTAAATTTCTGTCAGGTAACCCTTAGTTGGTGATTTGGATTCGTGGTTTGGCTGGCTTTTGTAGAGGGTAAACGGGAACCCCCTCCTGAACCACCGAACCACCAATTGGAGGGAAGCAGGTTCTGGGCTCTTGAAGGGACCTCCCAATCATCTTTCGAGGCGATTCTCGGCCCAGCGATTTGCGCCTAGCCCCTTTTTTCACCCCTCCGGTTGGGATGGCGATCCCTTGCACCCGTTGGTTCTGGGAAATTCCTTTGACCGGTTGGTTCTGACTAGCATCCGGTTGAAAAATGGGTGTGGGTCAGGTTTTAGTCTACTTTTCCATTTGCCAGAGTCCCATTTTGGGTACCTATTCTTGACCCACAGCCATATGATGGCGGCTCCAACCAACATTTCCAATGCCCCCCCCCCCCCCGGCATTTGTCAGCCCTAAGGCCATCCATGTTCAGTTTCAGTTGGCCTCCTGGCGTTTCTCTCAAGGGCTTAAGCGGTGAGTAACCATCTGCGGGTTTACCAGTGGTTCCTAGTTCCAAACGGGATGCGGAACCCCTGGTTTCCCTGGAAGGAGGCAAGTGTTTGGAGTGCATCTTGCGCCATGCGCCAGGTGTCTCCCAAAGCGCTGGAGAGGCTGGGCGAAGGTGTAAGGGACGTGAGAGGCTTGGATTCATTGTTTAGTTCTATTTTACATTTTAAATGCCATAAACATAATTCTAGTTTTTGTGTTTCCTGTTTTTCCTTGTTTTTTCCGGGTAATCCTGTGATGAGCCTAACTTCATAGAGCTGCTCATAATCCCTTTGAGACTGGTGCAGACCTGAAACCGACTGGTTGTGACGCCAGGCTGTTCCAGAACCTGGCCGATCGCTGGGGCAAGGCTCGGATTGCGAAGCTCAGAGCTGGCTTTGTCTTCTGTACCTTGAGCCAGGCTGTCCGGCCTCCTTCCCTTCCATTTGCTTAAGAATATGTTTTCTTTTCCCTTGTTGGGTTTGAAAGGAACTCATCACTACTCGAAATGTTTTTATTTTTTCCTGGGGCCTTATCCAAATGGAAGTTCCAGTCGTGAGTCAAAGTCAGACGAGCATGTTTGATCTTTTTTGCTCGTGATGTCTACTTTGGGGGCTTGAATGATCGCCGTGGCCTCCAAGCAAGTCAGTGTGGCCATCATATACCATGTTTACCATTGACTAATACTGTGGATGGTTGCGAAATCCTCTTAGGCACCACTTGGAAACCATGGGGAAACCATGGTTTGCTGGTATTTACACAGGAATCATCATTCCAGGGTTTCTTAGGTGGTGCAGGATTTCGTCCATCCACAGTAGGACAAGTGGTGTCATAAGACACTCTCAACTCCATGAAATCTGCCTGTTTCATAGCGAGCTCACCTGGGGGTAGAACGAGCTCGCCAGAAGAAAGGTCCTTTACTTGGGGATCCCTTAGTTCAGCTGTTGGAATTATAGCCAAAAAAAAGCAGATGCACTGCTTGGTTTGGATGTTGCGGCCGCAGGAGTGCGCCAGAAGTCTTCCCTTCGAGCGCTTTCATGACCTCAAGGCGGAGCTGGTCTGGTGCCAGCGTTGGACCACTGATTTGTTTTTTTTTCGGTTTTCTCCCAAAAGCCCCGAGAAATGAGCCCCTTCCATTCTGACTCAACTAGGAGGACGCAATGTCATGCCGATCTTTGGGCGTGGCTCAAAAGTAAAGAGCTTCGGTTGCGCAGGTGTTCGTCGTTGTTTCCATTTACCAAGGGGCCATCTTGGGTACTTTTTTTTTGAGCCACTGCCATTTGAAGGTTGCATGCAAAAAGTACAACAGTTTGTGTCGTGGCTCCGGAGGACATCAATAGGACATCTTTGGACACACAACACATTTCTACCCTTTTCCGCACCCCTGTGCAGCACCCCTTTTCGGTGCTTTGGTGGTGAAATGGGGTGGTTTCCTATTAGCGCCCCAGGAAACCACCGGCTTTCTCCAGGACATCTTTTTTCAGGAAACCCCAAGAGACCAAACCTTTCCTTAGATTTTTCCAGGTCCTTGGATTTGTCCCTTGCTTTCTTTGCTTTGCCAGAGGTTTTCCCAGGTCCAAACCTTTCTGGGAACCCCCAAGAAACCACTCCGAATCGCCAGCCGCTGCTTTTTGTTCCATGCGTTTTGACCCCAGAAGCCAGCAGCGGTGACCAAAGAAAGCAGCAGCTTGGCTATCGAGCGGCTTTTTCCAGGTCCGAAGCTTTCTGACCCGGATGCCTTTCGGCAGGTGGCCATTGGCACCGAGCGGGAGGTCGCCCGGGAGCCTGGGAAAAGGAACCCCCCCCAAAAAGGCGGCGACGGCTCGTCTTTTTCTTCCATTTGCTTTTGCTGAAATGAACATCTCTTGTTTTCCCCTGTTACTTCTACAGGAATTGATTACAGTACTGATTATTTTTTCTCTATTGGGGTTAAGCAAATGGAGGTTTTTGGTTCTTGGCGGTAAATCCACTCTTCTTTGGGGCTGTTCAAGGGAAACCAAAAGGAAAGACTCGGTGGTTTTTTTGGCGGTCCCGAAAAAAATGAAAAAGAAAAACACCCCATTTTGAGGGTTCCCAAAAAGGAGAAACCCAGAGGTCAAGGGATTTGTTTCCGGAAATTGGCGGACCCTCCTTTTTGCAACCAGCCTGAATAAGGGGTATGTGGCATGCGGCAAAAAGGAGAGACCTTTCCATCAGAACGTGGCACGGCGTTCCAACAGATTTCCCGTGAAGTTGATTGCTGGTGGGGTTTCCCACACAAAGACAAACGCCGCATTTAAAGGGTGTGGAAACACAACGCACTCCATCCAACGCCAGGTCCTGATGCTTCCTGGCAAACAAAGCGCAAGAAAAGGAAGCAGTGCCACATCCACCACCTGTTTCCCAGAGCAAGGATGCCATCGAACATGTGGGTTCCAAGCAATCCAAACAGGGTCCAATGCGGGGACATGCATCCAACGGACCCTTTGGTGGGCATCTAGATGTGGATGACGTCCACCAGGCATTTTTGAGGTGATTCCCCTATAACCGGTGATCATTGATTGTGGTAGTCTGGTTTTTGATTCCGGTAGTCTAATTTAACAGCTCTAAGTTCATGTCAACAGCCTTAATTTCATGCAAACTTGCGAAGACGCCGGGCTCCGAGCTGTTTGGCTCAAGTTGAACGCTGAGATAGCTGGACATGGCGCGGGTCACTACTGCCACACCGCCATGCTTCAGTGGCTCCAAGCCCCAACAATAAAGCACCACGGCACCTTTTTGAACATCCGGAACCAGAGCCTTGGACTAGGTCCCCCAGTAGTGCCCTTTCTTAACCCCTTTTTTGGGGGAGGGGGCTAGCCTACTAAAGAGACAGAACAAGAATCGGGTACCCTAAACCCTAACCTCTCCACTGGAGGACCTAGGTGAATCACAAGCCACAGCTTCTTTCTTGGAGATCTCCCAAAACGTGAATTGGACATCCTTCCCCTTGGAAATTCTTCCCCTTGAAAATCCTTCCCCTTGGAAATCCTTCGGCTGGTCAGAGCCTTGCAACTCCTTCGGCTCATGGGGGACGTGGCGCTGCTGAGAGCTCTGGGGACCCGCCTGGCGCAGCGCGCGCCGCAGATCTTGGGCTCATCGAAGCGCGCGGCGGTGGCGCTCGTCTTCCGGGTGGACTCGGAGGGGCCGATCGGAAAGGACCGGGCCCGGGGTCGCTGGCACCGGCACCGTGGGGTGGGGTGGGGTCACTAATTCCTTCAAGGGTTGGCGCTGGCCATTTGGTAAAAGGATTTCCGGGAGGAACTGGCGCACCAGTGATGGGGGCCCTCGGATCTTGTGGAAGCAAACTGCAGATTTTTTGGGTTTGGACCATTTGAGTGGCAAATGTAAAGCTTGGACTTTTGTTGGGCCGCCCACTCAGCCAGCGAGAGAAGGGTAGCCTTGTTGGGATGGCTTTAAAGGGTTCCCCCCTTTTTTGAGACACACCCGAAAAAAGAAAAAAAAAAGCTTCGCTGTAGACTGGTCCTTCGTCCCAACCCAGACCTTCTGTGCCGATTGTATCGGACCCGGTGGTTTTTGTTGGCATCCATGTCTGCCAGTTTCAGGTTTTAGACTTTTTGCGGGGTGTCAAACAGATCTCACTTCCCAACTTCCCGAGCCGCCCAGCCCAACTTTGCCCACGTTCCATGAGTCATCGGGGCTTTTGGAAAACATCCTTCGGTGCAACCAAGGTTCCTTTTGCCAACATCTTATGGCTTGGGAAACCACGACAGGAAAGGGTGTACCGGCTGGTCAGTGGGTTTCACCCAGTCCAACTGGTCCAGGATTTTGTCCATCCATGGCTGAAACATATTACCCCAGCTTCCCACCGCCGGTGTTTTTCGTGATGCAGGTTGTCTTTGCTGAGATAGGGCTGGCCACCTTTGTTGCGCAACCGAAACTCGGATCTGTTTGACTGGGTCAAGCTTTTTCTTGCATGTTTGCCCTGAACAAGAAATGTGACGCTGGACGCTTGACATGTTGTCCCATTTCACGGTTCTAAAACAAAATGGGCCAGAACCAAACATGCGTTTTGTGGGTTGGGGGCGACAGCTGTGGCATGAGTGCCAACTTCCTGGCGTTCCTGCAGCTGGCTTCTCTTGGAGGTTTGCCCACTTCAAGGGGCGATACTTAGCACGTCTCAAACCCAGGGAACGGAGACTTATAACCATGGCTTTGGTTGGTTATCTCACCATCCTTATTACCCAGCGGCCTTTCTTAGGTTCGCTTTAGACATAGATGGGTTCCACTGGTCTATTGTTTATTTATTTATTTTATTTTTTTAATGCCAGTTACCAGGGTCAGCTATGGCCCAGCGCGGAGGCCCAACGCGCGCGCGTTAGGAGAGCTTGCTGCGGGGGGACCTGGATGCGAGTGGCGCCTCGGTAGAGCTGCTGTACATCCTGCGGCTCGGTCGAAAGCAGGGCGTGTGGAGGGACGCGGAGGGTCCGCGGTTGAAAGGGACACTTCTCCATTTGCTGAACGGAATATTTTTATAGAGTTCCCCCTGTTGGTTTTCAAGGGAATCGATTTCACTACTGGACATATTCCTTTTTTTTCCTAGGGGGCTTAAACAAATGGCAGGACACCAAAAGGACACCACCTTTGGCAAGAATACGGGGAGATGCCCGGGGGGGACAGGGGGGAGGGGGTGTTTCTTGTCTTGACCAAGTTTCATGATTTTGCTGATACCCACAGTTTGGCTCCTGTCCCGTGGGTTCCCTCTGAAACAACTCCGGCGGAGTTTCCTGGGTCCTGGGTTATGCAATATGCTAGTGGTGTCCGTATTGCTTTGTTGCGGTATTGGCGTGTGCCCAACGGACAAAGCAGCTTAATGTTGCTTCGGGCGCGTGTCCCCGTCGCCAAAAACCGACGGTAGACGATGGAGAACTGGTGACCCTGTGCTCGATGGATGCGAGGCAGACTCTGTGCTTCAGCGTGCTCCCCAGTAATGTTGACCCAGGATCTAAGTAGAACCCGTCCCACTATTAGGGGGGGTGTTCCCTCCAAAAGTGGTTTGAATCCCCACCAAAAGGAATTGGACACCCCCCGATCAATTTTCCGGGGTTAACATTTGATCAACTCCAGCTCACTCACCTGAGTTGAGTTTCTCCAGGCTTCTCCTTCGAAAAGTAATTCAGAGAGGGCTGTGACTTTTTCAGTCGGCGGTCCCTCGGGAAAGCAATTGGGGGAGGGGTGCGGTTTCCTTGAACTCCATTACTTCCATTCCAGAATTGGGAGCTGAATGTTGACTGTCCTGATGGAGGGATGTTTGTAGGTCGGGAAAACAAATCCGCAAGACTCGAGCCGCGGCATGGGAAACGCAAACCTCCCCTCTCCGCTTGAAAGGGGCTATCTGGGCTTCAAAGAACTCTCCTGTGAGGGTGGTCTCAAGGGCCCTTAAGGTCAACATGCAGAGGGGTTCCGAGACTTACCTTGGGGACGGTTTGTTTCTCGTTACACCGCGGTTTCTGAGGGTCGTTTTGAGCACATGGGCCCCAGTTCTCCCTCCCGTTCCTGGAAAGAGCCACTGAGAAAGTAAGAGTTCCATCAAGCAAAGCCTGGGCGAGTCTTTTCTTGGGGGCTCTTCAAAATGCTGGTTTCCTTTTGGTTTCCCTTTAAGCCCCTGGCCAGGGGGGGCAGCCAACTCCAAAAAACCCCGACGAAGCCCACCGCTTGACCGCCACTCTCAGGCGCACGTCTCGTGAGGGGGACAAGTGGAGCGGCCACGTGGCCTTCCCCGGCGGCAAGCGGGAGGCAGAGGACGCGGATGACCGCGCCACCGCTGCGCGGGAGACCAAGGAGGCGCTCGGGTGCCGGGGTTCCAAGGTAGGCTTCAACCCAGGATTTCAACCCGAAGACCCAAAGCGTTTGCCGCATACTTGGTCAACACAAATTTGGTAGGTGTCAAAATACTGATGGACAGAATCCGCGCCAGGAACTAGTTGGTAGGTGGTTTATCCCATTCTCCCATAGGATTTTATCCATTCCAGCTGTTGCAGGATTTTGTTCATCCAAAGTCGGAATTCGGACCCCTAAACTTGGTGGTTTTTTGAAAAGGGCCAAACCACACGACCTCAGGGGATGTAAAATGCCTTCCCCTAGGGTGCTGTTTGAGGTTCGGGTAACATATCAGGTAGTTCGGACAACTATGAGTACGGGACTCTAAATTCCCCTACTCAAACCAGGGGACATGATGCCTTTCCCCATGTGCAGTAACAGTAAAATATGGCCACATGGCTATGAATTTTAACAGGGAACCACGTCAAACACTTTGTGGGGTCCATACATCCCAATGTGCATGACGTGCACCAAAGTGTCCACAAGCAAGATTCACACCCATCTGCATGTGTCCTTTTTGAGGGTTGTTTGAAGGGGGATCAAAGGAGAAAACTGCTTGGTGTTCCTTCGCGCCAACGTCAACCGTTCTACCCTCAAAATATAAAACACGGCAAAACTGCGTTTTCCCCAACCCTCCCAAATTGTGACACTCCACAAGCATTTCAAGTCTGGGTGTTGCTTAAGGAGGCGATTGGGTACCTAGTAAGCGGTCAGTATCGCAGGTTGACACCTGCCTTGCACCTGTTTGCAAGTCCTCTTTACCCGATCGCCTCCTTATCTACTTGCTTGGTTAATGTTCAACCCTAAACAGCTTGTCATGCGAATAACACCTTTTCAGCACCATTTCTGTTAAGGACAAAGAGGCCAATATCTCTCCCGATCGTTCATCCAGCTTACACTTGACATGCAAGAACGGCCTCAAAGCAAGACCAGCAGTCCTCACAAACCAATCTTTTTTTTTGGAGGGCGTCCCGTTGGCTGTTGAAAAGGATACCCATGAAAGGAGATCAGCCGGTTTGCTCCAAGCAAAGCAGTGGAATGGTTGGCCGGGGCCGGGGCCTTCCAAGCTGCGTCACCTCTTGAGAACTTGGGTGAGGCCGCAGTCATGAAGGGAAATTACGAGAAATCACGGTAGCATTTCAACATATAGACTTTTTCTTTGTTTACTATCATGGGACTTTGATGTTTAGCTCTTGTGAATGGGATTGCAACCCAGTCGGATTTCCGCCATCTACCAGGATGGTGCTTGTTGGCAGTTGCAAGACTTACTTGGACGTTCCTTGGATAAAAAGCGGAACCTCAGAGGTTGGTCAACTTATAGTCATGTTCACATTCTACTTGCTATCACTAAAACACCCGAACACCCCCTCTCGTTGAAAAATATACATGGAGCCACGCCACAGTCCTGGTTAGCCCCATGAATGCGTGTTAGGGCCCATAGAGTGTTAGGCGAAAAGATGCACACACATGATGAAGGATCTAATGACGGATGATTCAGACCGTATTCCTCCAAGCTCTAGTTCCTGCTTGGTAGCTCAAAAACTAGAGTTCGTGCCAGGGTTTCATTTGTGGGCATACACATTTAGCCTTCTAAAACAGAAGGCTCTGGATGATATGTTTGTGCAGGCCCCTTTTGGATATCCCCCACCTAAATGACCCAGTGGCCCAGTGGCGCCCAAATTGTCCTTTTCTTCAGGAAGGATTCCCCTTTAAACTCAACCCACCAAAAAATGGGTTCCGACATTTTTCCCCATGGACATCCACTGTGCATTTGAGATGATGTCCAACGGATCCCCCCCATAAAATGCACCACCCGTTTCCTTTTAATGTTCACTCCGGATTAATAAACCTCTGGTGTATTTTGATCGGGGGGTGTCCAATTCCTTTCAGTGGGGATTCAGACCATTTTTGGAGGGACCACCCCCCGAATAATGAGAGGAGCTGGAGGGGAGGGAAGGGGGGTGCGGGAGGGAGCCCAAATAAGTCCTAAATGAGGCCTTATTAGGGCCTTACTAAGAACTTATTTGGGCTCCCTCCCCCCTCCAAGCCCCCCCCCCAAGCCCCCCGCAAGCCCACATGATGTTAGGAGCTGGGCTTGGACCTGGAGGGCAGAAGCTTCGCCTTCTTGGGGCAGCTGGACGACCGCCCGGTCACGGGGCAGGGCCGCGTCATCCCGGGCTTCTACCTCGCGCCCTTGGTGCCTGGGTCTATGGACCTCCATTTGCTGAAGAAGATGTGGTTTTTCCCCTTGTTGGTTTTGAAAGGAATTTATCACTACTGGAAATAGTTTCTTTTTTTTCTTCTGTTGGTTCTAACGGGAATTTATCACTACTGGACATGTTTTCGTTGTTTTCCAGGGGGACTCAAGCAAATGGAGGCAGATCGGTAGGCCATGGACGGGGAATGTCGACCCCGGACCAAGAAACCCGGAGAATGACGGGACCACACATGAAAGACCATGAAAGTCATGTCCAATGTCCGGACCTCCATGCCAGAAAGTTACCCCGTCGGTGGACCAATATGGTCCGGGAATAATTTCCATTGGCTTATGAATATGGCCATGAATTTAAACTCCTGGAAAGTGGTTGGCGAATCTAAAACCTGTTTAGGTTCCCGAATTCGAATTCATGCGCCCATATGGGGGGTTGTTCCCCTGCGAAAGTGATACATCCCCACTAAAACCAGGAACTCCCCCACATTAATACGCAGAGGTTTATGAACCCGGGATCGACGGGACGACCCTAGATGGTGCTTTGTGTTTTGCTCAATGGGTCTACAAAGTTATGTTACCCTCCACTCAAAGTTGGCAGGACCCGCTCTGGACGACTTCTTCCTTCTTTGCCCAAAAGAAGCGTTCACTTCTACGATTGTTGGACAGAGGGCGGATTTTCGGGGTAGAATAAAGTTGGGATTGAGTTTGATTTTGGAACACTTTGGACGTCATGTGCAGGGTCTTATGTCCACCAACCATCTCACCGTTCGGTCCACTGGACCAATCTATGGTCCTTGAGCAGCAGGTTTTTGGCGAGGCAGAACCTGAGATAGATGTCGGCAGTTTCCAGTTGATTTGGGGAGGAGAAGAGGGGATCGCCTAAAACGCCCACATGGAAAAGTCTTGGGACCACAAAAAAACAAGGGACCGCCATTTCGCCTTTGCGGACAAGTGCACCGATTGTCTCCGATGCGCGATGTCACAATGCGTTTCCTTCTCAAAGGGGAACGGATTTCATTTGCAGGGATTGCAGGGAAATATAGCACACCAATCAACCAAAACCGGGATTCGGCACACTGACAAACGGCGATGCATGCGGCAAGGTTTGGCTGCAGCTGGATGTCGGGGATGCGGGCATCCAGATGCAGGAGCAGTGGGAAGTTGCCTGGGAACGCCCTTTTCTGAATTTGCAAGGGGAAACCCACATGCTGGCTTGGTTTCCTTTCTACCCCACGACAATCCACTTACACAATAGTGGGTGAAAAGCTACGCCGCGCCAGACTTACCTTACTCAGATGGTCGAGTCTGGCCTGATCGTGACGGAATGGCCTAGGCGTGGGAGCCGAAATCACTTGGGGTGGTTTTCTGGGAATTCCACTTTGGCAGTGGAGCCTTTTTCCACGCCTGGTGTGCTACGTCAGCTGCTACGTCAAATACGAAGGTTACCTGTTTCGGACATTGGGAAAGGAATGAGGTCTCTAGTTTTGGCGGTTGCAGTCTAGACCCATATTCTACATTCGCGGTACTTGTTTAGTACTTCGATAGGTTTGATACTAGTAGTGTTACGCAATTGCCAACCAAGCAGCCAGCCAGCAAGCCAACAAAGCAACAAAGCAACAAAGCAACAAAGCAACAGGACAACTGACCGACAAACAACTCAAATGCAAACCATCCAAAGCCAACCGTTCAACCAAGCACCAGGAAAACCTTCAAGGAACCACAAACGAATCCCAAGGCGATTCTCAGCAGGATCCCTGAGAGAATAACCGCTACAAACCATCCATGGTCTTGTTTCCTTTTTGTGGGAAACCCCAAAGCCAACCAACACCCCGGGTCCTCCTCGTCATTCCATACCCCTACACCCCCGGTCACTGGAATGATTCGATTCCCCTGCACATACCAGCAAACACTGGTTGCAACCAGGTTTTTAATTTCTTCCAGTCTTTGGTGCTTGATTTCGATTTCAACCATCCACAGTACCCCAGCACCAGGGACACCCCCTATGAAAATAACAGGGGCTTATAATCCGCGGTCAAAGGGTTGGGTTGTAGGAAATTCTAGGAAAACAGCTTGTTTAGGGTGTTTCGGGGCCATGTCCTGAATGTCCTGGAGATTTCCCTGTAACGAAAGCCTTTGACCGGGGTCAACAAGTTATCGCCAGAAAGCCACGTGCGAATTCACGAAGCTCCTTTTTGAGGCCCCAAGTTTTGGGTCAACAAACATGATCCCCCTATTTTGACACACACACACACACACCGACACATTCACCCATATGGCATGATAATTTTCCCAGAGGAGCCGTTTTTTTCCCCATTTCCGCGCGGATCGAAAGGACCCCCCCGATCCGATCCGATCTCGGAGATCCGAGATCCAGGAGTCCGAGGTTGCTGCCTGGCGCTGGGCGACTTTGGCCAACCTGGTGCCGCAGAAGGTGAAGTTCCAGGCCCAGCTGACAGCACGGCTGGGGTGCTGTGCCGGGCGCGCGGTTTGAAGTTTGGGCGTGGGCCAGAGTGGGGGTCGAAGATATGGGGTGCTCGGACTGTCCGGGGCCAACCTGAAAAAGTTGTGTCTCCTTTGCACGCTGTTGGGGAGGTGGACATATCCTTCCACCAATGAACATGGACCCATTCTCGGTTCGGGACCCGGTCCCTTTTCAAGGAGAATGGTGTCAAAATGCCTGGACCGATCCCCTGAACGTTCATGGGAGGGTGTCGGGACTGGGGTAAAGGCAGCCCAAAAACGGTTCCCCCAAAAAAGGCAACACTCACATGTTTCCACAAAGGTATTAAAGTCGGAAAACCAACAATAAAATCGAATAAATGCTGCCCGTAGGGGAGGTTCCCTATCTGCATTTTGACCGGGCGGACCTGGTCGCTTGGCAGGTGCCGCTCTCCATTCGTGCCCGCCTGGGGGAATGGCTGCCCTGGCTGCCGGGGCGTGTGCTGGATTCCGTGCAGGAGGTGGCAATGCCTTGCATCGACCTGGAGGCGGCGGGTTGGGGGGGGGCGGTTGGTTTTAGGCCGGTTCTGTTCAAAACATGTGGTCACCCGCGCCCCAGGTGTTGAACCAATTTTCTGAATTTTGTTCTGGCCTTTGGAGGATGGTTTGGCAGTCACTCTGATAGGTTTCTGTAGGAATTTTGATCAGGGACCCTTGGGGGCTCATGTTTTAGTGACCACTTTTGAGGTGGTTCCTCAGAGTTTGCTGGTGCGAAAAAATATGGCCGGCTCCTTTTTCGACCTGCAATGCTGCCTTTGCCAACCCCCCCCCCCGGGCCAATTTTGCAAACCCCCCATGTAGTTTAATGCATGATTTCCGGGTTTCCACTTTGGAGGCTTGCCTATGATGCCTACACTCCTCGATTTGCAAGCATCTTGTATGCACCCTGTCGTAGAACCTCACATGATGCCTACATTCCTTCTTATGCAACAGCCCGAAGGAACTCAATCCGGGCAGGTTGCTTTGTTCTTCAAACCATTCATATGATCCCACCTACATTCCTCGAGTTGTAAGAATCTTATGCACCTGCCTACATTCCTGCTTATGCAGCACCCCCCTAGAACTCAATCCAGGCAGGTTGCTAGGTCCCCCAGTAGTGCCCTTTTACCAACTTTTCTTTTTGCGGAGGGTTCCCCTACTAAAATAGACTACAGAAAAAATCGGGTACCCTGAATCTCCAACCTCTCTGGAGGACCTACTGTGGATGGACGAAATCCTCCACCACTTGGAAGCCATGGGAAATCATTGTTTGTTGGTGCCATGGGAATGAAACCATAAGGTTTGTTGGCATTTACAGGGGAATCGAATCATTCCGGGGTTTCTTAGGTGCCCTTCTTGGAAAAAATCGATGGCCCTGGTATGTGAGAGAGAACCACCAGGTTTCTACCAGGGCCCTCTATTGTTCAACCAAATCGACCAAAAAGGACAACTCTCGGAAGTTTCCCTCGGATCCGACTCATTCAGGTACTAGTACCCTTATTCCAACCTCTTTACTGGAGGACCTAGACTAAACTCTGGTTGGATCCAGTATAGCAGAACATATAACGAATATTCAAGAGAGTTTCATCTAACTTGGGAGTCAAACCCCCGTCTCCTTTGATTTCAACCACTGAGAGGGGGTTGCTTTCTTCTCCCTTCCGACTTCGAGGCGGTGAGCATGGGCTCCACGAGTTCTCCGGGCGCGGTCTTCAGGCTTTGGGGCCTCACGTTGAGCGCCACCAGCGATGCGCTGGTCCTGGGGGGCGGCCTCAAGCGCCAGTTGGCGCCGTGGCTGGCACGGGGCAAAGAGGGTGGGGTTAAATTTGTATATATGGGTGTGGGTCAAAACCAATAAGATCCCATTTTGGTTGGTAGGTGAATTCACCACCCACTTTCGAACCTAATTATTTTAGTGGGGAATGGGATGTTCACTGGGGGTACGGGGTTTTGACCCATGGCCATATATATATATATATAGTTTGTTTAGTGATTATAAAATCATACGATAAATGAAAAGAATGCATTTTAGATATAATGATCAGATATGATTTTTATACCTTGGTCGTCACAAGGGGTTGGCCCAATGATTTCCTACCCCCTTGGAACACAGGAATATCCGGCTTTAGATCGCGGGGATGGGTGCGGTGGAATTACAGGATCCGGGGTCAGCAGTACAACCCTGTCCGTTCTGCTTATGTGCCTTTTTGAGCAAGCGTTTCAGGAGCCCTGACGGTTGCCTACGGGGCGTTTCTAAAATGGGACCCGCAAAAAATGGGCTGGTTCCCTCTCATTGTTTGGGAACAGATATGGATCTTACTGGATTAAGCTCGGTTCCAATCATGTCCCAGTGCCATGGTTTGTCTAAAAGGCACCCATCGTCCCAACTCTGTTCACCTCAAAGGGCGGCTCTAAGCAGCATGTGCAAAGGCATTTGCTGTTGGGGTGATTTGTTTAGGTAGGACATGGAGTTCTGGAACACTTACAGGAATCTTGGCTAACCACTGCAAAGGTTCCTATGAAGGCGATGACCACGAACATGACAAGTTTTGACCATGGCCAGTCAGCGCCATTGCTGTAGGCGGCTTTTGTGGGACACTCAGGCGTGAACCGGTCACGAGAATGAGGCTTGATGTCTGAAGGGTTGATGGCTTCGTCTTTTTTTCATGGACCTTCGCACCAATTCCAGGGGGCACATCTCAGGATTGGCCGCCCTTGCGCTTCCGGCGCCTCTGGGCGAACCTGGTGCTGGGTGCCTGGTGCTCCACCATGGAGCTGCGGTTTCGCCAGCGGCGCTTCGTTTGGCGTCACCTGGGGGCGCTGGTGCTGCTGGCGCTCTGTGGCCTAACCTCGGGGCTTGGCGTCGGCCTGGGGCTCCGAGCCCTCGGCACTCGCCGGGCGAGCGAGCTGCGCGGCGCCGGCCGCTCGATGACCGCGCGGGCGGACGGCCGCTCGGCCATGGGGATGACCGCGCGGGTGCGTGCGGCGCGCATGGCCATGGTGCCGCGCAGCTTGAAAAAAGATTGGAGCGCTTCGCGGAGCGCTGGTGCTGTACGTGATCCTTGGGTGTCTCCCAGGTTTTAACGAAATGTGAACAAGAAGTGGGGTCGACCAGTTGGAGAAACAGGTTCTCAGGGGTTTAAGTGTTTGGATGAAGTGTCAACTACAAGCTTTTCGACCATTTTGAGAAACAGCCCCCCTCAGGACTCCAAGGGCGTCAAAGTCGAGGTGTTTTAGTCCTAGGCACAGGATGCGGAGCCAGTCAGGGGGCATGGGGACTTCCCAACATTTCCCAACTCCGTGGAAGGGGCTGTTTTTGGTAGCCGGTTTTGCCTGGTTTCCACATATGCTCTCTTGATATTATCCCAGTCGGTGTTTACATCTTGAACGTCAGATGAAAGAGCTTGAAATCTATTCCTAAGTTCAGTGACTGGAATTGTCTAGCAGTATCTGCTGGTTAACCGGGATGGCAGCCCTGTTTGATATTCATAAGCTTTCAAGCAGACCCCCAGGTCAATTGGCTAAACTGGCGCAGCTCGAGCTTTGTAGGATGATCTTGAAGCCCGCGGCTCACATGCGTCACAGTGGCGCTGACCCCTTCTTCGGTCCCCCAGCTAGGTGCCCTTCTCTCCCCTTTTTTGGTTGGGAGGGTTCCCCTACTAAAATAGACTACCCTCCCACCAGCTAACATGGAAGTGCACAGACCCCTGTAGAAAGACAACTTTCCTCTTGGTTAGTTGGCCTTTTTGCACAAACCCATGTTAGTTGGTGGGAGGCTACAGAAAAAATGCCACCCTTATTCTAACCTCGCTACTGGAGGACATATGTGCAGTCTTGATCTCATAGGTCTCATAGGTGTTCTCATAGGTGTTCTTCGTAGGTAATCTTGATCTTATAGGTGTTCTTTGGCCCCTAGCTTCTAATCATCTAGGCGCTGCGTTGCCTAGCATCGGGGGGCTTCCCCAAGCCTTTCTTCTTTGGTGCATGTTGCTTGGATGTTAGGACTTCAGCTTTTTGCCAACTAACGGGTTTTCCGCATGAAACCACCAAACGGTTTAACAACTTTTAGCAGAGCAGAAAGGAAATCCGAGTTTTTGTTCTTCCCCCTGTTGAATTTCTGGGTTTGGGATGGTAAGGGGAGGGAAATCACTGGGTCTCGGGTTGTGTTTGGGATAGGGGAGGGAAATCACAGGGACACCCATCAAAGCTCCTCGCTCGAGGCTAGGGACCAGCAGCGACAGTCTTCCAAGCAGGATCCAGCGGAGCAGAGCCTGGTGCTTGCTTGAGACGTTTTGTGGATACTTCCATTTGCTTGGGTGTGGCTCAAAAAACCGGTACCAAAATGGAACCCTGGTAAGTGGAAACATGGACCAAACCTGCGGTTTGCCCGTCCTGTTTAATTTTGAGCCACACCCATTTGCTTAAGAACTTTTTTCCTGTTGGTTCTAAAGGGAATCGAGTTCACTACTGGAAATATGTTTCTTTATTTTTTCCAGTGGGCGAAAACGCAAATGCCAGGATAAATATGTGTATATATATATATGTGTTTGTGTGGATTCAGGTTCCAACCCTGTGCATGAGTGTACCTTGTACATGCTCCGCCGCTACAGACTTCAAGAGCACTATCAGCAGTGTGAAAAGTAGTCAACGGTTTGCTGCTTGCCTAGGTATTACCTTAGGTGGCCTAGGCTTGATAACACAGGTTATCAGCCGTAAAGGCTTGTACAAAGATCGCCATGGCATCCGGAGATTTGCCCATTATATACAATATATCTGGAGAAGTTGGTGACGGTGGTGATGGTGCAGTTGCACCTACAGGTCCTGTTGACCCTCGCGATCCTCGAAACGTATTCGGGTTCGCGACAAACTACCAAGCCACCCAGAACATCATGCATGTGCATAACGACACGGGTGACGCTGTTAGGGAAGAGGCCAACACGTTACATCGCGTTGCTATGGATGCTACAAGGGCGGAATATAGCGCTCATTTGGCGGAAACTGTGCATCGCCTGGACGAGGAGAACAACCGTCGGACCCTTGAGCTGCACGAGCAGTTCGCAGAGGCTCGCGCTTTCTTCAACGCCCAGGTTGGCCAGATGCGGGGAGCAATTTCTGCCGAAGTGAACGAAGCTGTGTCGCAAAGAACGGCACAGTATAGCGCTTTCGCACAAAGCTTACATGCTGAGACTGTTGTGATGGAGAACTCGGAGAAGGCGGTCGGTGAGCAGAGAGACAGTATTTTGGCGGAGAATCACGCCATGCAGGACACGATCAACGGGCTGAACGACACCGTTGAGCGTCTGAGAAACGATCTCGAAAAGGCGCAGCGTGAAATGGTGCGCGGAGATCCTCAGCCTGCGTCAAGTGTACAGAACGTCAGTTCGGAGTCGTTTTTGGATAAGAGGGGCAGTATCTTTGATGATCCGCGTCTTTTTCCAACGCAGAATGCACAAACTTCTGGAACTATGCCACAGATTATTCCACAGCAGAGTTGGACTGATCCTATTTCTGGTGCAATGCAGTTTGATATCAAAGATCATGCGAGACGGTCTTCGGAGCAAGAGAACAGCCGAAGTCAGCAAAATCAGTCGACAAATCAGCCGAACATTGATCGGTTGACTGGTCCCGAGACCACCGAGGCGGAGTTCCGTGCGGCCCTCCTCGGCTTCGTCCGGAATCAGCATGATCGGCCAAAAGCAAAGGAAGCTGATTCGTTGAGGCTGAGTGAGTTTCCCACTCCTGAGACCTATAGAGCCTGGAAAACGGCTACTCGCGAAGAGATTCGGGCTGCTTCAGATCGGCCTGATGCTGCATTCACCTGGGTTAACAAGGTGTACGTCAACCGGGAGGACAAGAAGAATCTCATGTTAGAGCTTGGAGATCCAGAGCAGTTTGAAACGTTGGATACAAAGCTTCTTGCGGCCTTGTCGCGGATTGCTAGGGGCGACCTTAGTCGGCAGATCCTCACCTACAAGGAGCAACAAGCTGCTTTGGACAAAGTTGTCCGTGGACGTCAAGTTCTTCTCATGTTTGAGCAGTATTTCAGAACGAATGAGGAGGCCGGAGCGTTGTATTCCACTGAAGATTTGTTGAAGGTGGTACTTCATGGCAATGATTTGATGACCTTTATTCAGAATTGGGATTCCGTCATTGCTGGCATGAAGATCGTTCCGGAGCAGCACGTCTTGAAGGACATTTTCTTGCGACAGATTCGTGGATGTCACAAGATCAAGTATGACCTCGATACATACGAGCGTGCAAAAGATGGGTCGTATGACAAGAGCTACGAGTTTCTTGTTCAAGCCGTTCGTGATGTTTTGACTCGGGAGCGATTGCAGTCAAATCGTGATCGTGTTGCTCGAGCTCACAATCAGAAGGTCGGTGCTCCAGCTCCCAATGCAAATCCTGGGCGTGCAAGAGATCCGTCAGCGGTCAGGTATTGCTATGATTTTCAGAAAGGCAAGTGCACTCGGGATAATTGCATTTACAAGCATGAGAAAGACCCAAGACCCCCGAGCCAAAATCCGAAAGGAAAAGGTCGGGGGCGCTCTGACAGCCAAGCGAGAGACAGGGATCGGTCGGCATCGAGAAAGAGAGCGGAGCTGAAGAAGATTCCCTGCAGGTTTTTCAAAGGCGGTCAGGGGAAATGCACTCGTGGAGACAACTGTGCGTTTTCGCATGAGACTCGGTCTGCTGCACCAGCGACAGATAAGCCGAGCCCAAAGAAAGGAGCCAGCAGAGGTAGGTCTCCCACCCCAAAGGGAAAAGGGAGGAAGCGATCCCAGAGCAAAAAGGGCGAGTCCTCAGCCGCTGTGTGTCTGAGGGTGAAAGAGACCAATGCATGCCTCGCAGCATGCCGCCCAAAGCAAGATTTCTGGGAAGTTGACTCGGTGAACGAGATGGTTATTCGACACCATGTGATGCCTCGAAAAGCGCTTTACGATCCGAAGAGTGCAAAAGACCTTCCGATTTCACTGGAACGTTTATTGGATCAGCGCATCACCAAAGCCAACATCGATGGCAAAGAGCAAGTATTTGGTGATTTCTGGGCGGATCCTGATGAAGGTTTGGAGCAATACTGGACTGGGCAAACAATTTTCATTTGCAGTACAGATGTTTCCAATACCCGCAGATGCGTCAAATTCGCAGACAATGTCGAGGTCGTCGAGATCGAGGCCAACGGGCTATGCCTATCATGTGCTCCAAAGCCGAATGACCCTGAGGTTGTGTGGTATGATGGTTGTGCGCCTGGCTCAAATCCCAAGGATCTGATCGATGCTAAAGACAAAGCTTTGATTCTGGAAGGGGTTGTTGACCTGATGCATGCAAACTACAACGCGCCTTGTGGGTTCTATTGCGAATACTATGATGACAATGACCCAATTTATTGCGGTTTATATTGTCCTGGCTGTTGGATTGATGATGATGAAATGAACCTTGACGATGTGCCGGAGTACATTGCTACGCCAGCACCAGCAGGGCTTCGTCAGTGGATTGTCGACACAGGTAGTGAACAAGATCTGGTCGACTCTGAGCGTGCAGTTACACTTCAAAAGAAGATAAATCCTGCATTGACTCCAATCAATCTTTCAACAGCAAATGGATCAATTTGTGCAGACAAGATTGCGGACTTCTCCATTGATCAGTTGAACGAGGTCGTCACTCCGTATGTTTTGCCGAGCACACCAGCTGTACTTTCTGTTGGTCAAAGATGTTTGGAAAAGGGGTACGATTTCGTATGGAGAAAGAACAGTGCTCCGTACTTTGTTCGACCTGACGGGAAAGCGGTAATATTGAAGCTCGATGGGCGAGTTCCTTATGTTGACGATCAGTGCGAGGTCATAGCTTCTGAATCAGCTATGCCTGTTGCTCTTGCTGCATCCGATCAGAAGATCGGGGGCGTTGAAGTGCCTTCATCTTCAAGCGGAGGGCAACCTCCGCCGGATGCTGCATCGTTTCCATTGCGCCCTGATGAAGCTGAACCGCTGGAACCGGAGTTTGATCCGGAATTGGAGGACAACCCTGAGGTTGAAAAAGCTCCAAAACCGATGTCAAAGCGTTCAAAAGAAATGATGATGCGTGAGGCCAAAAGTGAAGAGCATCTTTTCACTCACAGGCCCAAGAACCCCTTTTGCGAAACGTGTGTGCGATCAAAGATGCAAGCACCTCAGGCTCGTCGCAGACATGGATCTTCTTCGGTGGATGCAAAAGCATTTGGAGATCATGTGACTGCTGACCACGTCATTTCAAATGATGAGACGTACGGGTTCAAGGGCGAGTGGAATGCTTTGGTCGTGAAAGATGTGTTCACGCAGTTCCGGTATTTTTACCCTTCAGCAAGGCAAGATGCTGACAGTTGCGTTCGTGCATTTCAACATTTCACGAAGCCAGATGATCATGTTGGGATTTTCTATTCTGACAATTCTGGCGAGATTGCAGCTGCAGTAAAGAGTATGGGTTGGAGACACGTGCTGAGCCAGCCATATGTCAGTCAATCTTCCGGGGTGATCGAGCGCGAGATTCGTACAATTCTGGAGGGAGCAAGAGCAAATCTGTTTCAAAGTGGTTTGCCGGTTGAGCTTTGGCCTTTGGCAGCTCAACATCATGCATTTGCTCTCAATGTTACAATTCCAGATGACAAGGATAAGTCGCCGTGGGCTTTGCGTTTTGGTGATGAGTTTCCTGACACGAAGATTCCATTTGGTGCAAAATTGTCGTATTGGATCAATCGTCAGCGCGTCGATTCGAAGCAGTCCAAGTTTCTGCCAACTTCGGATGTCGGCATTTTTGTTGGCTATCATGTGCAACCTGGCTTTACCTACACCCATGAAATTTTGGTATTGCCGCTCAAGAATTTGCCGGACAAGTTGCGGACGGGTGACATTAATCCCCTCCGCGTCAAGCAGTATGAGTTCAGTCTGCTTGATGAGACGTTTGTTTTTCCCGCAAAGCAAGCTATTGCCGACGACAAACCGTGTTCTCCGGATGAATTGGAATATGAGCCGGAGTCATATTTGCAGCCTGGCGAAGCATCTGTGCTGGAGGAGGTTTTGATGCAAGATCCTCCCGCACCTGCCGAGGGACTTGCTGATCACGATCCTGATCACATGCCGGATGGGTCGGCAGTTCCACCTGGGTTTCAATGGGATGGTTTTCGTTTGGTGAGAGCCCGAAAGTCAAGTCGTCCACCTGGTATTCCATCAGATATGTGGAAACTTGCCTCTCCCAAAGAACGCGCTCGTGTTGCTGAGGAGTATCGCAAAGAGCTCGCGATGAAGAAGGAGGC